GACCCCTACAAGTTGTCCATGATGTCCACATGTGTGCCACGGCATGAACACACAAAAGTATGTGTGGGCATGCACACACACATGCCTGCACCTATATACATAAACATGAGTACACACACATACACAGGCATGGACACACTTACACATGCACACATATACTTACATACACACACACACACACACATATTCATGCACACACGCAATGTAATTTTAAAGAATTAAGTCAAGCAAAGGTCCCCATCCTTTTTCCACCTATACATACCACGCGTTAGTTGGATGGAAAACAAGTCAGTGGTTTCCCAGCGGGTACTGAGTTAACCTAAGGTGTAATATACACATTTTGGTCTGAATGTAGAGGTAGAAAGAGCAAGAATAAGGAACCTGAGACAGAGATAAAGGAATAGATGTGGTCTTATTCCCTAGCCTGCTCACATACCCCTACCAGATAGGGAGCAGGAGCTGAACTAGTGAACCCAGACTCCTAGTCATGCACCTCTATATCACATTTCAAAGAGACGGTACATCTTTATTGCAAATACATTCATATTCATCATTTTATTCATTCCTAAGATTTTTGTCAATAAAATGTTGAGTTTCAAGAATAATAAAGACTGATCCTTTCAATGCCTGTATCAGTTGCTGGTTTATTGTTCATCCATATAAGATTTTCTTTGTTGTGAGAAAAACAAGCTGCTCGTGTTCTCCGAGTCTTCCTAGTCATCCTTAGTTAAAAGGGCTGCCCACTTTCATCCCTTTGTTAGGCTACATGACAATATTTCACAGATCTTTGAGGTAAAAAAGCAAGCTTCCAAATACTGCCTGGAATAGTGATAAACACCATCTTTTTGCAAAGTGTCCTGTGGCACTAGTCCCTCGGGCAAAGAGCCTGTGCCACTCACCGAGGGTGCCCTGCTTGCTATCCCCAGCCCTCTCAGTATCGTATTTCTTCTTCCCTCGTGGTAGGACACAAGCTCCCTTTGAGGACAATGGGCATCAAACTGCCATTTTTTTTTTTTAAATTCAATGTGTGGTAAGTCTAGCCCTTAATGTTTACCCAGAGCATTGAGTCATATTATAGAATAATAAAATACTATTCGAAAAGGGCACTTCACATACCAAAATAGACATTTTATGAAGTCCATTTTGGTAATTCCAAATTGCATTTAATTTTCTCTGAAAATTCCCACGTGACAGGAAGATATGGGTCTTTGCGGCTTTCAAGTATCTTCTAGGGAACTACAAAATGACAATCTGCTAAAATTAGCATTTTTCCCACAGACACTAAATTACCAATATCAATAAAGTCACATGCATTTTCATTAAAATAGATAACTAAAATAATAAGTTTCCTATATTGCTATTCTGGGATTCATGCAAATCACAAGTCCACATTATCCTTTGGTATGAATCACTTGTAGTGCTTCCTTTTCACAGATAGGTGGGGCTAGCGACTTCTGTTTTAATTATAATATTTTAGCATATTAAAATCTGTATCTAGATGAAGCAGCTACTTCAAAGCTTCAAAACTGATGAAACTGCATCACTCTCTTTTAAGGGATAATATACTACTAAAACACCCCCTGCTGATTTCACAGGCTTTTGCAGAGAGCTATGCATAATTTTCTGAAATTCAAAGGCTTAAGATCAGATATTTATGATGCTAAAAACTAGAACTCAAGAATTATTAAAAACTTGGAAGACTTTCCAAAGACAGATTTTTTTTTATTTTACTCAGTAATTATTTAATGTGAGGTTAATAAAAAAAAGTAAAAATCAAAAGATTTGAATTCTAGATTCAACTCCAGCACTTAATAGCAAGGGGGCAAAAACTGGATGTCTGGGAAACTTAACAAAGGATTTAAATGAGAGCTGATAAAGTGGCCTGGGACAGAGATTTGTAACTGGGCCATCACCGCACAAATGAAGATTACCGAAGACGGTGTGGTGGAGTCCCTAGTTAGATCTGGGGACAAATTCTCAGGAATCGAAAATGCTGTTTATGATTATGTGATTTTTTTTTTGGTTAAAATCACTACTTTAAAACGTTCATACGATAAATCTTAGGTCATCTGAACATCCTTCTTATGACTGACATACAGCATGTGTATTTCTGACAGCCCTAGTGCCAAATAATTCAACTTCAGTTGTTTCCCAAGCTAATGAAAGCAGAAACCGACACAATATGTGCCTCCCATCTTCTCCCGGGTGATAAAGAAACAGATTTTAAGCAGATTTGTTTTAATCCAGAAAACTTACAAGAATATTTTACTATATATGGCACACTGTAGTGCGAATGAGTTGAACTGGAAATAAAAGAATACAGACAACATAAAGAGTAGTGATTTCTACATCATTCTTTGTTATAAAGTAATAAAGCTATGCACAGTTATTTTGTAGGTTTGTATATGTTTATATTGTGTTTTAAGCAGTCATATGAAAACTGTAGATTTAAAGCTATACCTAGATTCATATTTCTATATATTCAAATAGCATAAAATGAACATGTTAATTAACTTAAAATAATTTTTTGAGGCACAGTGGGATTTTTTTGTTTTCTTTCTATTTAATTATTTATTAAAAATTTCCACCTCCTCCCATTTCCCTCCCCTCCCCCTCCCCCTCCCTCTCCAACTTAAAATAATTTTAGTTGATACAGCGCTTGAAGGATGTGGCCACGAAACTTGGAACCGGGACACCTCAGGTTGTCTTCTCTAGATACATTGCTGTGTGGCTCTGGGTAGGACAAATGACTGTACTTGCCAGTATTTCTTCACAGTTGGACAGAGATAACAATCTCATTACCACAGGAACACAGAATTTAAAAAAATAAACTGAATGTATGCCTTCTAGGTATAGTGTTTAATGGGGAATAGATCACTGAATCAAATATTTAGGTTTTTCACGACGCTTTGGGTAACTCCTGCCATGTCCTTGTTTTCTAAAGTAAGGAGGTATTGTTAGTGATCCCCTTGTTCCTGCTGATTTAGCAACAGCAGAAGTGGGTGCATGGACTTTCCACTTCTTCATCAGGCCCACAGTGGTTTGGTTCCCAACAGCTTTTCTCCTCTTTTTTAAGTAACTACCAGAAATGTAAACAGCATGTAAGTCGGTTGTAACCAACACATCTTGAGAGTGGAAGCAGAGCTAAGGGAGTAAAACTCTCCCACGCATGAAAAAGATCTGAAGTTTCCATTTCTTTCCTGTTTCCCCAGATGTCAGAGAGGACAGAAGTCTAATTTGTCTTCTCGCTGTACTTGGATGTAAGCACCGAATGGTCTTTCCCCATTGCCTTTTCCACCAAATGAGAAAGCCTTCCATTTCTGCTTGGAAGTGTGGAGAAGCTGCAGAGCAATTCTGTCTCACCTTTAACCTATGTCTTAATAAAATCTATCCACTTGGGATATTATAACAATTGGGAAAATGACTCTAAAGCATTCCGTTGGGAAGCCAGACACTTCTGGAGTTGAGGTTTTTTATATGCCATCCCTTTGTGATTCATTTTTCAAATACTGCAGAGCTTGCAGCACAAAAGAGCCTTAGAAACTCTCCAAAGGCTAAACACGGAGTGGTCCTGAAGCTGACTGTGCAGGCATTGCTTAAAAAACGGCACAGCCACCATATATGTAAACTACACCTGGAATCCGTGATCTTCTAGGCTTGTGAATTTTCCTGGCGTCACCAGGCTTTCTCAAACCTGCCTTAAACTGAGGTTAGCAATATGTGTCCTGTTTCACAAAGCTACTACTGAGAAAAAAATTTTAAGGAATATAAAACAGTAGTAACAAATAGTATCAAAACACTTCGCAAAGTTGAAAGTTCTTAAGTCAAGAGACAAAATTATGGCATATTTAAAGATCCAAAATGGTTTTTATTCACGATTGTACAACTAGACAGCCCTTGGAATTCTTTCAAAGAACCCTGACCACAAAATGTCAGGCATTGTTTATGACAAGAAAAGTGATCTAGAGATAATCTAGTTGATTATAGACAGGTGTTTTGCTTTACGTGCGTTAGTTGGTCTCCTGCTATTGATTAAAGCTGGGATGCTATTATCTGGTGGACATTCAGCTGTTTGTTCAAGTTTAATTCCTAAATTCGGTTTTCAGCTGGCTTACCTATTCAAAGAGCCTATAGGTCTCTAAATTCTGAGGCATGCTATGGCTGGATGCAAGTTAACATCTTCAGGAAAATAAGCCAAATTCAGACAAGAATAATTCAAGATATTTTTTCCTACTACATATAGGAGGGGGAAAAGAGTTGGAAATAAAAGAACTATTATGAGTGGACAAGACAATGGAGCGGGGAAAAACTGATGGTTATAGAGGGAGAAAGTATGATCACGGTATGTTATGGGCATACGTGGGAAAAGTCACAAACAAGCCCATAACTTTGTAAAATTAATACACACTAATTTTTTAAAAGGTGAGGTCTCTCCTCAGCTTGGTGGGTCAGAAGAGTCGGAATTCTAGTGACTAGCGCTCCCCACAAACCTGAATGAGATCAGGTACCCAGGTGAAACTCCTTCAGCTGACAAATCATTGCTATGGTAACTGGCCGCAGCTGACAGCAAGCTGACCTCACGCCATGCCATGCAGCATACACAGGGTGGCCACTCTATGAGGCGCTCACATTTTGAGCTACTTAATAGAAGAAAAAACTGAGGCTGAGAGAAGAGGCGCGAGGAAATAAAAATATCTAGCCTGTGGCGGGGAAAAAACTGCCAACAGGAAACAATTCACCATCTTTCCCGCTACTAACCGAAAGTCTAGACCTTGAAAGGCCTATGGAGCCTCCCAGAGGCAGGGCTACAAGGCCACGCCCACCAGACACGTCCACCCTCAGACTCCGCCCCTCTCCGCACCCAGCCTGCACCGCTCTCTGACGGACGTGGTTGTAGTCTCCCGGTACTGACAGACTTCCTGTTAGTATTCGTCACATTTCCGGTAGGTTTCTTCAACCAATAAAACGGCCTCGGAGGCGGGCCATCGCGGGGTGGAACCTTCAAGCCGCGGCGCGGGGGCCGGGCTGCGCGTGTCGGCCTCATGGCTTCCGCGGGGAAGCTTGGCTCTTTCCGCCTTCCCCCGTTGCCCACCATTCGGGAGATCATTAAGTTGTTCGGACTGCGAGCGGTGAAGCAGCTCTCCCAGAATTTCCTCCTGGACTTGAGGCTGACAGGTGGCGGAGTCGTCAGTTCGCCCCGGGAGTTCCCGAGGGGCACGGGCGGGTGTTGGAGCCGGGCTGGACGGGCGGTTATCAGTCAAGCGCTCCCCCGACAGCTCGGAGCTCGCTGCTCCTGGAGCCCGGGAGCGCGACGTGAAGCCTCGGGCCGAGGCGACGCTCCGCGGTGGACGGCTCTACCTGTCGGAGTTGCTTCCCGCGCTCTTTATACTGAGCGGGATTTAATTTAGTGTTTCTCTTTACCCTGTTCCCAATCTGTCCGTCATTAGCTTGCGCCAGGTAGTTTCTCAGCACTTGGGGACCAGAGGCAGGAGGATTGCCGCCAGTTAGAGACAGAGAGACCCTATTTCAAAACCGTAATCCGAAATAGTGAATAGGATACATGTTCACTTCTTGAGTCTAAGACTCCCTCTAGGAAATGGCTGTTCGCTATGTAAATGCATACTAAGCAAACAGTGCAAACAGCTACCTTGTGCCAACGCTTGACTATGATACTGCAACAGCCTTGAGTTTGCAGTTTAGTAAATTGACCTCTTCGTGCCTCTTAAAAGTCACTTTTATACGGTGAAATTTACATAGGGTGAAGGTCACCAGTCTGACACCCAAGTTTTGTTGAGTTTTCACAGTTGTTTGTTGATTTCCCTACCTCCACATGTTAATGATGCTTTCTGCAAGGTGTGATTGTGAGAATATGGTTGCAAATAAGGGCACTAATTGACGGAGTACTAAAATTTTTCCCCTCTTCCTACGTTTAAAAGGGACACCCCCCCCAAACAATCAACTTTGATTACATGATGCATGGACCACAAGGCATAAATGAATAGTTTGTTTCTCGAACTTGGAGCCTTTCTTCTCTCTGTAACAATATTAAATTAATGTAGGCAAAACAGTTAACCCCCCTAAGTTTTCTCAGCCTATAGTTGATTAAAAGGTCAACAAGAACCTAAGATCACCCTCTGTTAGATTCTTTGGTTCCAGCGATAGCTAATACTATCCTCTCCCAGCCATAAGCAAATAGTAAATAGAAAGCACCATTCTCTGCTAAAATACAGCTTGGTTTGGTTTTTTTGTTTGTTTTGTTTTTTAAGACAGCCTTCTGTGGCTAAGCTGCAGCACGTGACTTAGCCTTGCTAATCATCTTGCCCTCACCTGCCAAATGCTGAAATCATAAGCCCGTGCCACCGTGCTCACTCAGTTAGTGGCTGCTCCGTAGGGACCCCAAGCCTCTGTCAGATTGATTACTCCCCCAGCCATTTAATTTGCGTTCTCTCGTGCCTCCCCCGGAGTAAGTTCCAGGTTCTAGGGTTCCTTTATCCACTCCTTTTTATGGGAACCGAAGTGAAAGGAGATAAAGGTACTTGTTCTGGTGAGCTCGGGTGGAGCGAGTTTGAAACTCAGACTTAGGGATTTGACGCTGCATCTTTGGCATCTGGGTGTATTTAAGTGTTCCTGTGGGGCTTAGGAATGAAACCACCACCCCACCTGTTGCCGCTTTCCGGTTTTATTTTTTTTTTTTTTAATTTATTTATTTATTAAGGATTTCTGCCTCGTCCCCACAACCGCTTCCCATTTCCCTCCCCCTCCCCCGATCAATTCCCCCTCCCTCATCTGCTCGAAGAGCAATCAGGGTTCCCTGACCTGTGGGAAGCCCAAGGACTGCCCACCTCTATCCAGGTCTCGTAAGGTGAGCATCCAAACTGCCTAGGCTCCCACAAAGCCAGTACGTGCAGTAGGATCAAAAACCCACTGCAATTGTTCTTGAATTCTCAGTATTCCTCATTGTCCGCTATGTTCAGCTAGTCCGGATAATGAGGAACGCTTTCCGGTTTTAAAACAGAATATGAAGTTCGTAGTTCTCCCTCTGAATAAATTATTCTCCATCCCTTTGAGAGAACAATTGGTAATCTGTAACAAAACAAGGATTGGTTTTGGAAGCCACACCTGGGGTGGAATTCCTCTCTGCCATTTGCTTTTCTTCATGATGTTTGATGTGTAGTTCAGATAAATGATAATAGAATTGTAAGAGAATGTGAATATGTCACCCAAAACAGCCGGTTGGGGGGTGCTGATTCCCTTTCTGGACTTATTTGGTAGTGGGTAAGCAACATTTTGCTTTTAAGTTTACCTAAATTGATCATCAGTATCCATCCTGGAGCTGTGCAGTGTCCGTATGCAGTGGCGTGTTTTCAGTGGTAAAATTTCCAGTGTCCAGGGCGCTCCATTGTGTTTCACAGAGTGATGAGTTGCAGTGAACCCTTAGTCTACCCTGTCCTGTGATGTCTTAGCTTCTGCTACCTTGACAAACTGAAGCAATAGTAGTTTCTTCTCAACATGTGTGTTGAAGGCCTTAAAATTTCAAGTTGTAAATCCAAACCTTTTTCCGGAAACAATCAAGAATTCAAATTTCAGAGTCTAGTTGGCATTGGTTGTGATTGTCATCCTGACCTCCAAATAACTCTGGGGGAAAACAGGGATGTCTGCATCCTCCTTTGGATTTTTGCTGATGACAATGGGAGGATGAATGTGAAAATAATCAGCTATTTGATGTCGCAGGGCTATAGTGAAGTGCCGCCTGGTCATCTAGCCAGTCTTAGGAATTGATTGGTTAGGTGGAGAAAGAAAATGCAGTATTGTCAGAATACTGGTGCAGTACAGTGATGTAGAATATTATGTGTTCAGAGTGAGAGCTAAATAATTAATAGCAACTGTTGGATATTCTTAGGAAAGTTGCCGTGATAATAAAGTGAACTCTTTTCTTTTTAGACAAAATCGTAAGGAAAGCTGGCAATCTAGAAGATGTTTATGTTTATGAAGTGGGCCCCGGGCCTGGGGGAATCACAAGATCCATTCTCAATGCCAATGTTGCTGAACTTCTGGTGGTTGAAAAGGACACTCGATTTATTCCTGGATTACAGGTGAGATGACTTAAAGTGTCTTTTTTAGCAAGACTGAGTCAAATCTTAGGCCATGATCTAAAGTCCCCGAGTTGACCGAGGCCTCTGCAGGCAGTTCTCAAGACTGAGTGAAATCTTAGGCCGTGGTCTGAAGTCCCCGAGGTGACTGAGGCCTCTGCAGGCAGTTCTCAAGCTGCAGCTCTCCAGGTCCTAGCCCACAAGTTAGAGTTCTGTCATCTAGAGAAGTCTAGAAAACTGTGATTTACAGGAATACCACATGGTCTTTACACATAGATGCTAAATAAACTAATCATTTCTATGGTTTTGTTTATTTCTAAGCTGTGCATATTATGGTCCAGTTCTATAGAAATAAATAAAAATAAATGTCAATAATGACCAATTGCTTTTACTTTGGAGAACTTTAGGTTCCAAAAAGTATTTTCACACATAAAAGATGAACAAGATACATGCTGGGGCCTCATCAAGAGTTCAAGCACTTTTACAAGAGAATTTTTATGCATAGATGAGGTTTGAGTGAGACTTGCAGAGACGCGGGTCCTCTTATGGGGAAGATTAAGGTCTGGGGATTTGTCACCTGAATTGTGAGAATCCAGAGTGAGTGTCTTCAGTTTGCCCATCACTGGTTAGCAGTGGAGTAAAGACCTGTCTTGGTTATTGTAGGAAAAGAATAAGACAAGTAAGTGGAAATTAAAGGAGACAGGTTTGAGGGTTGGTGTGAGAGGTCCTTCTGTCTATGTGTTGCTTTTATTGGTTAATAAATAGAGAACTGCTTTGAGCCTGTGGCAGGGAAGAACAGAACTAGGTGGGGAAAACTAAATGGAATGCTGGGAGAAAGGTAGAGAGAAGCCATGGAGCCACCACCAGAGACAGACTCTAGGACCTTCATCCAGTAAGCCACAGCCATGTGGTGATACACAGATTAATGGAGATAGGTTAAATTAATATGTAAGAGTTATCTCCAAAGCTACAGAGTAAACCCTGTCATGGAAAAAAAAAAAAAAGTAAGCATTAGCCAATAAGAAGGTAGAGCTAATGGGCCAAGCAGTGATTTAATTAATATGGTTTCTGTATGATTATTTCAGGGCTAAACAGCTGGGAACTAACTAGCGGCCTCCCTCCTACAAAGAGTTTGAAATAAGGGGGATGTGGAGTTTTTAAAGCATTGGCAAACAATGGGACAGATCATATCAGGAATCTTTTAAAGAAATTTCTCAAAAGAGTCTCTTGAGGACTGGCCTTTGATTCCTATGTAATTCTCAAACTTTAAAAGAGCCTTGAGCTTTAGACCCATTTGAGTAGCAATTTATTAAGTGACTTTAACAGAACAATAAAATTACCCACTGTTCTTCTACTTTTAAAAAAAAGAAAAAAATAGTTTTAAAATAGTATGTTCAAATACTTATCTGTATATGTTAGAATAGTTGGAGAAATCTTGTTAAAATCTAGGATTTTAGCTTGGCGTGTTGGCACATGCCTTTAATCCTAGCACTCAGGAGGCAGAGGCAGGCAGATCTCTGTGAGTCTGAGGCCAGTCTGGTTTACAAAGTGAGTGCCAGGACAGGCTCCAAAGCTACACAGAGAACTTTATCTTGAGAAACCCCCAATAAAATAAAATGTAGCATTTTAGTCGGGCAATGGTGTTGCACACCTTTAACCACAGGTGATCTCTTGAGTTCAAGACCAATCTGGTCTACAGATCAAGTTCCAAGACAGGGATACACAAAGAAACTTTGTCTCAAAAGCAAAACAAAACCAAAACAATAATAAAATATAGGATTTTATTGTAGGCGGAGTGTCTCAGCAGTCATTCCCAAATTACCACACGGAAATTTATTAATTATAAGTGCCAATAGCTCTGACTTGTTACTAGCTAACTCTTACAACTTAAATTAACCCATTTATATTAATCTACATCCTGCCACATGGCCTTACCTCTCTTTCATCTTGCACCTCCTGTTTCTTCTCCATGTCTGGATGGCGACTCCTCTGGCTCCACCCTCTCTCTGCCCCTAAAACCTTGCCTAACCATCAGCCAATCAGCTTTTCATTAATACCGAGAACAATACATATTTACAGTGTACAGAAGGATTATTTCACAGCATTTTGTGGCCACTGCTTTAGAAAACTAGTTTTCTCATTTTTCATTTTTCTCATCTGGCTTTGTCTGGTTTTCATGTGTGAGATAATTGCCTGACACTGACTTGTATCTAGTTTTGCCCGTCCGAATTCATTTCAGATTGCTGACTTAATTCTGAGAGTGATACATGCTAAGTGTTCTGGACCATATGTGAAACTTAGTGGTGTGGGGTTTGGTTTTGTTTGCTTTAAGAACCACGTCCCCGTTGGCAGTGGAAGCAGGAGTATTGATCTTGGTGGGATCATCTGGTGACAACTGCTGTGCTCTTTGTGTTTGTTCCTTTAGTCCTTAGCGGACACGGAGAGCATTAGCTTCACTTTCATATTTCCTGTCTGTGATGCATCTTCCCCATTAATCAGATGAATAAAATCTGTGGTAATTCCACATTAATTTATACATTATCCTCTGTTCATTAAAGATGTGTGAAGACCAAAGGGGCAGCCACCACCCTCCTCTTTTCCTCCAACACCCTCCCTGGAGTCCCTGCCTCCTAACAACTCTTTACCTTGTTTTGTTAAATTTTTCAAAACTGGCCACACTGTATCTGTATTGCTCTTGTTGTTGGTCTTGCCCCTTTAGAATGTAAGTGGCACAAGGATAAAGATCTGAGTCTTTATTCCTCTGTATCTATATCCGCATTTGACAGTGCCACAAAGCAGTGTCTCGTGTGGGAAATGGAGTCATCTGTGACTGTGTGTTATTATAGCAGCTGACTAAATGTCATTGGATAGTCAAAGCAAATAGTAACATTGGTTATTAAGAGGTTTTATACTTTTTAATATCAAAGATAATTCAGGATAAATCACAGGAAATGTACATTTGATTTCTTACCTGTTTCACAAGCAGCAAAATGAATTCTTAGTGTCTTCTTTGTGAGAAAGGAACTTGCCTTAAAAAGAAATGATAGGTACTAAATTATCAACTAGGCTTCTTTTTCCCGTAAAGAATGTTTCAATATGTAAAGCTGTGCTCTATTAGATGTCCTAAATTAATCATAAAATTGAGTAAAAGCAGAAATAGGGTGATATATTTTAAGGATTCCATTTTAGTGATTTCTAAGCTAATAGAATTATTTTTTAAAGAAAGTGTAATAATTTATAAAATATCTCTGGATGAAAGTCTGCCATCTGTAGCTGGATTCAGTTGTTACAACATAATCATGAGACAGCTGTAGGGGAAGAGGGTACCAAGTGATGCACATAACGTCCCTTCTGTGTATTGGAAAGGTACGTAAACCCATTCAGTGTGTGGAAGCAGCGTAGGTGATTTTTGTGGCAAGGAACACTCCTGTTCACTTCTGGCTGCCAGGATTAGCTTAGACTCTGTGTTGAGTGTGCCCATAGGTGGAAAGTGACATTTTGCCTCATTTTTTTGTAGAATTGTTTAGTGTTTAGTGGATGCCTGACACTTGGAATTATTCAGTAAATCTTTCTGTTTTGCTTTTTGTTTTCCAAGATAGGATTGCTCTGTGTAGTTCAGGTTGGCCTAGAACTTTGTTGGCCAGGGTGGCCTTGAACTCAAAGACCTGCCTGCCTGTGCTGGATTCAAAAGTGTGCACCACCATGCGTGATTTCAGTGAATCTTTATTAACATCAAGTTATTGCTTCCATGTCTTAAGCATCTCTGGTGATTTAAGATTGATCCAGGCCACTGCTGATAGCAAACTGCTTTCTGGTAACGTACCACTCACGTTGTACAGTTCTTCCTCATTACAGTCGTTTGTTTTTCTTCTGTTTTTGTGACTAAGGATTCTCTATGAAGGGGAGTAAGGAGATTTTATGTCTCAGAGAGCTCGAAGCTGGAGATAATGTCAGAAACATGCCTCTCTTTGAGTCCAGATTCTTCTTAAATTTCTTTTCTTTCATACATTAGTAATTATAATGATAGCTAATATTTCAGAAGCATTGTCCAGTAAATACTTTGTTTTACAGGTTTATTGCAATTTTATTGAGGCTTCATAAACCACACTTGTGGAAATACTCTAATTACTGACATGCTATGGTCTTGTCCTCACACTAAAGATGATAAACATGGTCGTGAGAAGGACTTGTTCCTTGTAATGGATTTCTTCTTCCTCCCTTTGCTTATCCCTGGATAGCTGATCAAGAGCAAGATTTTTCTCCTCTTTTTTAGACTTATATATAACTAATAATTTTGTACATACTTTGTAGTTATTGCTGTATATATTTGTGCTTTTTCTCAGAATAATTATTTTCACACATCCTGAGGTATTTATCAGTAGCTTTCTGTGTTTGATGCTGTATAAACAGTCCACTGTGTAAATATACGAATTTTGTAGATACTCACCTTTTGATGGGCTTTGTTAGCAACTGCACAGCAGGCCATTTGAATATTCGCATGCAGCTGTTTTGTAAATGCATGCTTTTACTATTCTCCAGTGAAGACCGAGGGGTATATGGTCTGATGTCCTGCCTATGCTATTTTATGTTGCAAAACTACCAGACTGTTAAGGTAGCTATCCTATTTTCCACTCTGACCAGATGTAGCGGAGTGGCAGTTGCTGTGTGTGCTTGCACTCCCTGGTGCAGTGAGCTTTTGGTGTGTTGTCTTTGTTTGAACCCTTCTGACTTGTAGGTAGTGGTTTCTTGTGGGTCTGCTAGCATTTCCCCAGTGCTGATGATTGCGCATATCGCTTCCTCCTCACCTGTGCTTATTTGAGGAGTTATTTAGGTAGTTTTGCTTTTTAGTGGCGGTCAATTTGTCTGGTTAAATCTAGAGCACTGTTTATGTATCCGGCACATGCTGTGCTGATATTTTCTCAATTATGGCTTCTTTTTCCATTTTCTTGACAATGTCGAATGAAAAGAAATATAACTTTTACTAAGTACAAAATTTGTCAGCT